GTGTGATGATAAAAGCCTCTTAGCTGCTCGAAAAGCCTGGAACGGTAATTTGGATTCGAGTAATCAGAGGTTAGTGAGTTCAGCAAATATGAATAAAGCCCAGGCAGGATTGACTGAACGGAATAAAGCTTATTTTCGGAACCCTTCAGTTAGGGTAAATTATATAACTGGACCTAGAGTAGATTCTAGGATAAGTGATCGTGGAACAGTAACGGCTAAGAAGCCTAGGAGACATGATGCTACTATTACTAAGAAGCCTGAACCTCATGCTCTTTCGGATGCTACGACTAGCTATGGAAATAGTAGCCATCAGAACCTTAGTAGTGACAGTGATAATAAGGATATAGAAAGTGTCAGAAGTCCACTTATAGGGACTAGTTTGTCAACTTCATCGAATGAGCCTCCTAGTGTTTCGACGCCATTGGACCTCGTCACGAAGGTTAAGTTGATTGAAGATGCACAAGGTTGTGCAGCTGTAACTGTTCCTATTACGGTTGACTGTCAGTCGAGTGACGATGAGAAGAAAGTGATTGATGGTAACAGCCAGTCTACAGTGCTGTGTGATGACGATGCTATTGTTGAGCATATGTCTTGTGCCGCGGAAACGGATGCTAATGTAGAACGGAATCATTTAGACGTTGATAATAAACTGGATGTCACTGATGTGACAAATGAGTTACCGACGATGATGAATACTGTTGAAACCTCCTCTGCATCAGGAGATGGAAGGATAAATATTAATCCTACGTCATGCTACTTAAGGTCTTCTGGAGACGATGAAATGTCAAAATTGGAGATCCCACCCTTGCATATTATTTATGGGTCAAAAACTTCTGTTGATAAGTTAGTATCACGGACTTCATGGTATCTGCTGATCGGAGCAAGTGGTGGTGGATTGGCGACTCGTCCCCACGATAGAGAATGTAGTCCTTGGATAGGATATGACCAGTTTTGCGACGCGTTGTTCATGTTCGTATGGGTTAATTGGATAAGGTTTATACTACCGTTAGGTCATTCCACGATAGATAGGGGAATCAAGGGCCTGATGGGAAAGTATAGGTACCTAGTTAGCGCGATAGGTCATATCCATGTTGGATGGCGGGTAGGCGTACTGCTGTAAGTCCTACACGTTATTCCGGTGTGGATTAGGGGATAACATGGGAACCCTAAATAAGGTGTCATTAACGCTTGCTGTTTTTGCATGGAGGGATTTTGCGGGCCGGTGTAGAATTCTTTTTGAATGTTTTGTGTTTTGGAAAATCCCTCCATGTTTACATATTTTTGCTATGACATGATGGACTTTTTCTCTTGACATTTTTGGTATTTTATTTGATTCCAATTTGAGATTTTACCATTGTATGTTGTTATTCTTTCCATATTTTGTACTTATATTGAAGTTTTTGTGTTTGCTTTTGAACTGTACATATATTGTTTAAATTTGATATAATATGGCTACCGCCACATTTTTGGATAGACGCGGTGGCTGCTGGACTTAGTGTCACTTACTAGCTATTGTAATAGATACTCTACGGAGTAATTTAGTCCTGGAAGAAACAAAAATACCGTAAGCCTCTGTATTTCCATTTTATAACAATATAGAGACGTTTTCTCCTAGAATTTTTGACCTTTTGAATTGGCTGGGACCTGGATCTAGGAGTAACGTACCGGAGTGTTTCTATTGGACGCGATTAGGACAGCCGCCGACGAAATAGATTCTACAATTATTTCTATATTTTGTACTTATATTGAAGTTTTTATGTTTGCTTCTGAACTGTATATATGTTGTTTAAATTTGATCTTTAATATGGCTACAGCCATATTTGGATTGATACGGTGGCGGTTGGATTTATTACCTTTGCCTTCGATACTCTTCGGAGTAATTGTGACCTGGAAAGTGCATCAACTCCAGGTATTGCTTTGTATTTCCATCTTTTAATTAATATAGACCGTTTTCTCCTAGAATTGTTGTGTTTTTAATACTGGACTGGGAGATACGCGTTCAGATTGCACTTATTGGAAACCATTTGAACCGCTACGGTAGAAATCCATTTATAGTTAGGCCAAATAAAGTTGTGAAGTAGTAGGTGAATCGTTTCCTACTAAACTTGACGAAAGTGTGCCTCGACGTCAATAGCGTAAAGTTTGTCACACAAGCGTTCTTGGTACAGTTAGCGTGTGACTTTAGATTATAGGGTACAAAGACTGCAATATGCTATTTAGCTCGAGACAGATCTAGAGTGGAGTCGCCTAAGTTGTATGTATAGCCTGCATCATGTCTAAGATGAACCATTTTACACACTGAAGTGTCAAAAAAGTTCTCTTTTATTCTACCAACTTTGAAGTCCAGTTAGATTCAACTTTAGAGGCAGCTTATCATCATGAAAACAAGCTTCTCCCTAAAGATTAACAACGTCACAGAAAAACAACAAATCAGACAGTAATATTCGGGGAGGGTCATTAATAAGTGAAATAAGAAGAGAACCCTGAGGTGCTTCATTAGTAAGTTCTGCATCGTGAACCCTTCCCTTAAAATTTCAATTACTTTGCTATAAAGTTAACAGGTCTATCAAAGGTGGCCTGGTACCTAACAGCTCTAGCTTATCGATCTGCCGTTTACCATTCATTCTATTGAAGGCTTCTGAGATATCAAGATATCACATCAACTTTCTCTTTGTGGTTAGGAATGGTTTTCCATCCGTCCAACACATTGAGAAGTTTGGTTATCCATGATTGCCTTTCCTTTAGGTTTTCAATGAAGCTCTCATAATTGCAGGTTTTGTGAGACGGTCAAAATTTTCGAAGATACTGCTCTGCTAGAACGTCTGCTTCACCACCATTGTTTTTGTTTGGGCCATCAAGATATAGCGGCTAGAAAATCCCAGCCTTGGTTTATCAAAGAGTGACTGTGTTGCAGGACAAGCTCTTTGGATTGTAGAAAATTTTATCAATTAGCTTGGTTTAAAATTGAAGCTTATCTTGTTAAAGCACTTTTGTAGATAAGTTTCTTGTCATTTTGAACCCTTCATGTATGCTGACGTCACTACTTCGTTTATATTTTTTCCAGTCAAACAACTGAAACATCAGCATTTCAAGGGTACGACATAAGGAATTATGGGGTCCGTTTATACGACAGACTGGTTTGTAGTCAGAAATCTCAGTGAGCATCCACATCACGTGGTTCACCTGCCGCAAATCATCCTTCAAAGGTGATGCATAAATTTAGGTATTCCTATCAGATGAGTGTTGGTTGCGTTGCTTTGATGGAGAGGGCGATGACGTAGTAGAATATTTTGCTTTATTTCAGGTCTCTCTGAAGGTGGGCATGGAGACTGATCACTGAAATTAAGGTTGCTCTCATAAGCTTGCAACCACTTAGACTCATGTCTCCAAATTTAATTCGAGGATTGCTATTTCCCCAAGGCAATCTGCAAAGTGCTTACTCAGGCAGGCGCTTACACAATGGCTTAGATAATGCCGTTTGACAAGAAAAGATAAACAAGGAGCATTATGTCTATAAAACGTTTTCCTGTTGAACCTTCGGATCTAATTTAGAAACATCCGGTTTCCTACTTAAACTACTTTTCCATTATTTAGGTTCTATTCTTCGTGATACACATCACAACTCACTGTTCTCAAATACTGCACCTTATAGTTCAAAGACTATGTTACTGCAATTTGTTTTAAGTTTGGAATCCAGAATGAATTTTATCTACTGACTCACCATCACATCGTCTGCTCCACTATGAACGGTTAAACAATGCTCTGGTCATTTGCCTTGCCACTCGCTTTCTCCAGTCTCTCTGACTTCTTTCCAGGACCTCGTCAGTAGCGAATAACTTTGGGGCAGCTCATACTAGGAATATACCTTACGTTTGAGTTCAGCAAGGTCAAAGGCTATACCGAGCGCCCCTCTCTCGACACGTTCTAATAAATATGAACTCACTCGCCTATTTCCTTACACAAACACTCTGCAAGTGAGTCTCCCTGAAAACCGTCTCGTAAATCACTGCTTCATTATGAATACCATCCAAGAACCCAGGTGACCAGCTGCCCTATCTTTAACCACTTGTTGAAACTGTGGCTGTTTCAAACTGCTCATATCAGTGAGATGCTATAAATATGCTGAGTTCGGAAAGGAATACCAATATTTATCTAACTGAACAACTTATTCTAGTAAACCTGAGAACTAACTGATCTTGCCTATAAACTTGCGTGGCTCATATAACACAGTGTAATTTGATCACTGAATCTTGGAATTTTTGGCCTGTTTGGATGCATGCGGGTTCCACTTGGCAACTGGTGTCTGTTGTCTCGACAAACCTCAGCAGCTTCCATTTAGGCGGAATGGGAAGTTTTTGTGATAGTTGAAATTCAGTGCAGGTACATTTTGTCAGCTAGTTCGATAATCTCAAGATTGGACTGTACAGCCGGTCCATTAGCTGATTTTTTCCAAGTCCTGAAGTTTTGAGCATTTATGGCGGTAATTGTCGATCATTATGGGCTTTAATGATGGGAGTTTACTCATCTTTAGTAGAGTTTTCAAGGATCACAGTTACGTTTCGCGAGTTTATACTGGGATAAACGTTTATTGAGACAGTTTTTTCTTCACTGATACAATGATGGTGCTGAGTTTCAACATACCATTTTTGGTGTTGTCACTTGCTTCATCGATAATGAGATGGTTATTGTTATTATCGAGTACCTCCTTCTTTCCTTTACTGCGCGTTACTCTCGCCTATCTGTTACTGGACTGCTCGTTCAATGGTTTACTGGCAGTTTTTCTGCAAACCTGTCAGAATAATAATGTTGCTGCTCAGCATGTCCTCAACATGGAAATAGCATGTACAGCATGTAAGCATGTGATCTTACCTGCTATGTCTGATGTAAGAAACTGCTATTAGGTCTGTGGATGCTTTGTGGGAACAAGTTTTTCATTTTCTACATTGTAAAATATAATACAGTTATGTAAACATTGGTTGCTGTTTTCCTTAATCAGTGTACTTTGATAACATATATGGCGGGACTTTGGGCACGTGAGAATGAACTCTGCTGATGCGGTAATTTGTGGTAGGAATCAAATCACAGCATCTGTAATAAAGATGCTTAGAAAAGTTAAAAATGTGAATATAATTGGGTACTGGTGTGAATCTACTGACAATAAAATTTATGCAGATGTCACTGGTATACAAGTTATTAACGGAACTTTTGAAGATTTAATATCAAATAAAGATATGCAGTTTTTATTTCTTTGTGATACACCTGTAAATCAACTTAATTTTGTCTCCAAAGTCTGTGGCCTGAACTCAAAACAGTCTTCTGTGAATGCGAACACGCAAGGCAAACCTTTTTTGATTATTCTCCCTCCCGTGTCACCTAATTATGATATAGAAATGTTGGAGAAAGCTAAATACCGTGTTGGTTTTGCCATGCCCTTCAGGTACCTGCCTGTATCTTCCCTTTTGTGCACCCACCTTAATTGCACTTATTACCAACTAAAGTCACGCAATAATTACGAGTTTAGTCGACTCCCAGCACATTGGCTGTTAGGAAATATAGAGAGCATCCACATAAAATTGTCCACTAACAGTTTGGTTGACGGTAGTGATTATTCATGGCTATGTGAATCGGAAGGTATGGGTGGAGGGTTGCTGAATATGTTCTGCCCAGGTCTCATTGACCTTGTTCACCTTCTTTCTGGTGGGCTTCAGATAACATCAGTCACTAGTATCTGTCGAACATTTGGTAGAGGAACAAATGGTCTACGTCATCCTACTCGTCATATTTCTGCGGATGACTATGTTACTATAATGGGTGAACTCGATATACCACCAATGTCAGGATTCAATAAACCGGTAGTTGTCATTATCCTTTCATCAGATATCCCTTTCACAAGAGATGAAGTATGCAAACCTTATGAAGCTCATTTTTGTGACAATCATTGTTTCAGACTTGGAATAGAAGTTAGTGGTTCTAGTGGCAGCTTCATGATTGATGAAAGTAAAAGACAAATTTCATGGACGCCACGAAAATCCATTTCATCAAACCACAGAGAATCTGAGAGCAGACTAGCTAAATCAAACTATGAAAGTATTTTCACGAACAAACGACCTGGGAATATTGAAGAATCTAAATTTGAAGAAGATCATAATGAGGATGTGTTACTTAGTCCTATCAGTAGTATCGTGTCCCGAACTCAAGCTTCTACGAAGCTAAACATTGATCTCAAAGATGAAATGACAGAAATAGCTAATCTGTCATTAAATGTAAGTCCTTTTAAGTTGTATTATTGTTATTAATATCACCATATTTACTGTCATGTTACATCTGTTGACTGTGTTTCAAAGTAACCTATAAACCAATTCCTCATAGCTGGCTAATAAACTGAGATACTATCATAGAACATGCATGCTAGTGAAGAATAGATGATCTGCGTGAGTATCAAGTAATCAGTAACTTTACATTCATTTAGAATTAGGAATTCAATGGTTATTGTACGCGTACAATACTAAAATAATACAATGGAAAGTTTTATTTCATTATATATCAACTAGAACTTTTAGTATTAAGTGTAGGATTGTATTTGTATGAAAAACAGTTTAATCATTAGCACTACTGACAGGTCCATATAACGTTTATGAGTTAAAAAAGGGTTAAAAGCTGTTTGTTTAAAAAGGAGTTGTGTACGATACAGTTATAGTGTAATGACGGTATATACAGGAAAGTAAAAACTTCATAGTTTGCTTACGGTGCAAGTAACCAAACTCTGTCTTTCAATCACTATAAAAAATTTTTTATTTTCACTTAGGATTCATCACATGACTCAGAATCAGCGATGAATGCTCAACATTGTTGCCTATCAGCAACTGGAGAAGCATGGTCTAACTGGATCAATAGTTTGACAAAAAACTTTTCAGACAGGGAATCATTCGAATCTCTATTGGCAAGCCCCAACCATTGGGGTTATATTCAGTCGGTTATGCATGCTATAATTAAGTCTTCACAACTGAGATGTTGGATCGACGTACAAACTGGTAAACGCATGTAATAGCTTTCTTGAAGTTATTGCAGCAAACATTGGGCAAAAATATTAAGTCTAACGGCTTAATTGCGGAAAATTCAAGACCACTTTACATCAGATGGACAAGGATTGGTCTACGAATTCGAAAAATTAGAACGAGATTTACTCAGGTGCCAACTTACTACAAACAACAGTCATTTTTATGATTACCAAATAAATCATTGAATTCAAGTATTTCACTTTTGAAAATCGTAAGCTTCTAGATGAAGTATTCGAACACTTCTGTTTACATCAATATAAAAAAGCTGTCTTGTTAGCCTGCTATGGTTCAAACTAGTTACATCTACTTTCAAAAACTGACAGTACTGGGTATAAGGGTTATTGAAGTGTATGCAGCATCGTAAGATTAATAAGCTCGTGGTGAATATATTCTAATGCAGGTTTGTCTTTTTCATTTTTTGGAATGCTGTTCATAGATCTTAAAGTGAAGATGATCTTACGTTGAGTTCAGGTTATAAAAAATAATGTCGTGCAGGAATTCCACTGGATGAGCAAAAGACTAGATATTCACACTACGTCAGGTCCTAGAATACTGACACATTTCGGCGTCTGACAGTAGTTGTATTCTTTGACCTTCGGACAGAGTTTTATTCTGTCGATTGTGGGGTTTTATGGCAGTGTCTCTTATTCAAAGGTGTACCAAAAAAGTACATAACCTAATAAAGGCTTTATATTCGAACATTACTGGTCGGGTCAGAGCTTATGGCGAAGCGCTATCAGAATTGACTACTTCCAGCGGTGTTCATCAGGGCTAACAACTTTGTCATTGACATGCATTTAGAGATGACACGTTCATCATCCCACTTTTCAAGAGTTGACAATTCACTAGGCGATTCCCTTATTGACATAGAACATCCCGATAACATAGTTCTATTTGGTGAGGATGCTGAAAGAAAGGCAGTCTTTTGATCACTTTAGGCAGCAATGTAAGTACGTTCGGGATGTGATTCTCCTCCTCCGAATGTAAAATCTAGCTTAAGAAATGGCTGCATCGTTACCAGAACTAGTGATGCTACTGAGTGCTGATGACCTGGCGTCTGGTGAGATCTCTGCAGAGATACAGAAGGCTCAACTGGCTTTTGCCAACTTGCGCCACTTATGGCATAGGTGAGATATCCGTTTGTTAAGCCAAGGACGAGTGTACTGCGCAGCAGTTTGCTCCATCCTACTATATGGATGTGAAACATGACATGTAAGAGTAGAGGATATTTGTAGGTTATTAGTATTTGGTTTAATATGTTTTAAAAGCATTGCTCATGTATCCTGGGTCAGCCGAGTAGGCAATGCTGTCGTTAGTAAACGGGTACTAAGTAAGGACGGCAGGTCAACAGATGAAGTATTGAAACTTCATCAGTTGAGGTGGTTACGAATGACCAACCACTGACTTCCTGGACGAGCAATGTTTTGTGGTGTGGGGATACACTGGAAGAAAGTTAGGGTCGGCTGGACCAAAAACATGGCAGATTTCCATGAAGTCATTTACAACTGTATTGAGTCATGTTGGTACATGTAGACCAAGTAGTTTGGATCCACGAAACAACAGTGTAACCGTTGGTTAGAGACCTTGAATGACATAGTTCAAAATCATTTGAAGTGGAGCAGGTGTATCCGTTCCTTGTCTTGTCTTAAATTTTATTTTCTTCTGAATACGTCATTACCATCTTTCTCTCTTTTTACGTTTATTTCACTGTTTGAATAATATCTTCAAACCTTAATCTTCTTCATTACCGCTAACACTCGTTCTACCTCTCTACAACTACTGTGATTTGAATGGACAATTCAATATCTATGTACTAATGTGATATGACAACTTGTACTGCTATTCAATGTAAGTACAAAGTTCTACTTTGTAGCTGACTGAGTGACTGACTATATAACTTATTGCGAAAACCTTTTTCCAAGTATACATTAGATACTTTAAAATAAGGTTTCATAATTATTCTATTAGAGCAAAATTTAATGCTCTACTTCAAAGAATCCCAATTCTACCTTAAATACATATGACAGACGGACAGATACAACCCAGAACTTCGTACGTAAGTACGTCAGTTCAGGTTTCCATACCGCATTAGCACAAAGACGCAACTGTCAGTTCAAATACAAGAGTGATAGTGATAGTAGAAGCATCAGCAGTAATGGAGAAAATTAGGGAGTGAAGATATGATTTGAGAAATATAATTCAGTGAGATAGATCTAGAAAGAGAAAGATAGAGATGATGAGGGATTCAGATGGTTAGAATTACAGAGAACACAAAGAGTGGATGCACCTGCGCCATTGCAAACGATTTTGAGCCATATCGTTCAAAGACTCTAACCATCGGTGACGTTCATCTGGCGAACCCCAACCAGATAGTCTGCATCTACAAACATGTCTCAGTCCAGTTGTTGGTGAGTACATGGATTTGTGCCATGTTTTGGTTAGGCCGCCCCTAGGGTTCTTCCAGCCTACCCATACACCACAAAACACCGCTCATCGATGCAGTTGGTGGTTGGGCATTAGTAACACATGTCCCAACCACCTCAACTGATGTAGTTTCAACATTTCATTTATTGATTTGCGATCCCTACCTGGTACTTGTTTCCTAAAAACAGCATTGCTTACTCGGTTGTTCTAGTATATACGAGCAATGCTTCGACGACACCTATGATCGAAGACTAGTAACTGACGAATATCTTCTACTCTCACCGGCCATGTTTCGCATCCGTATAGTAGGACAGAGCGAACTACTGCGCAGTGCACTTATCCTTTGGTAAGCATACAGATATCTCGCCTACGCCATAAGTGACGCAATTTATCAAAACCCAATAAACCCTTCTGTATCCATGCTGAGATTTCGTCACACACCAGACCATCAGCACTAAATGAGACACATCTACATCTACACACTTGACTATTTCATTCCTTATCACTAGAGTTCAAATACCGATGCAATTCAATTTTACACCATATCAAAGTAGCCAATACTGTTTGGGAAAGAAACACATATAACATTAAGTAGTGGTAGTAATTATTATTTTTATTATTATTATTATGACAAAGATTTAAATTACAGTTTTTTTTGGGGGGGGGGGATTACTGACACACACACACAGAGAAAAAAACGAACAAGATTTAATTAGAAAAAACCCATAATATGCACAGACTTAATTATTATTCATTCACAAACGACAACAACCACAATAAAGAATGAAGCACACTCTATTTTATCCTATTTTCATTTCATCTGTAGAATAAAAAAATTCTTAGAAAAAAAAATGAATAATAAATATTTATTCATTGGTCTTTTTTCTTTTTTTTTGACTGTGATCGATTTTAGAAAAAGGAAAAACAAACACGCACATTCACATACACATGCATACACACACACATACACACAGTCATTTTATCCACGTCGAGGTAGTCGACACATTTCACATTCATCTGTATCAGGATTATTATGAAAAGTACAATGTGGACATGCCCAATGATTTGTTTGGGAATTTCTTGATTCTGTTAATGTTGCGGTCGTCGTTGTTAATAATGATGTTGTTGCTGTTGTTAATGGTGATGATGATGATGATGTGATTGTTGTTTGTGATGACCAATTCATTTTAGGTAGTGTTGTTGAATTAATTCCAAAAGAAACATTAGAACCACCACCACTAAGTACTGAACGATAAGAACTGGAGGATTGATGATTAGATGATAATGGTGGACTAGGTGGCATATCTGTTTTTTGTTGAATATGAAGGAAAATAATAAAAAAAATGTCAATTTGACATTGACATGTAGATAAAACAAAGAAACAATAATAACTACATTTGAAATCAATCAATCAATCATTGTGTTAGACCACCTGGAAGCACTGAAAGACGGCCGTTTCGTCCTGGTATGTGACTCATCAATGCTCAGTGACCGTCCACGACTCCTGCTCCTCGCAGGATTCGACCCCGGTATGGTGCGCGCTACTTATAAGTAGTATATGATGCGAGTGTAAACGTAATGTCTGGTGGCAGCAGAAGATGGGGGAAGATCAAGAGAAATGAAGAAGAGTGGGAACACAATGGAATTTGTATGAAATGCATGAATAGTGGTGAAATGTCAGACAATCGATTGATGATGGATTGAAGATTTGCAAATTAACCGTTTACGATATGGTTTTCCTATTTTACTGAGTAATTCTGTAATTTTCGTTAAATACAATTCGGCTGCCCTCACCTGTGTTCTCCTTCATTACACCGGAACCTTCGGTATTGTGTGCGAACGCCTAACCATCGGACCACTGGGCCGGCCGGCATCCAACGATGTTAATGTCTAACTCTCATTGATCTAGGGATTTTTTGCACGACCTCACCCATTAGTTGTCTTTGGTAGTTACTGCCTACACCCGACAGAGTTGAACTCCTCCATTGGTCACACGCCTTCTCAACTAGAACTCTGAGAATTTCCTCACGAAGAAGCTAGTCACTAATGAGCACTGTTACGATATTTTCAAGGCAGAGTTTTGGAGGTTTGTGTTTTCTGCACATTTGAAATCATCATTTTACATGTTATAACATAAGAATACACGTATGCTACTATTTGTATTATATGCAACTAGATGAAGTATGGGGGTTAGGATAGGAAACAAATGATAAATTGTCTCAGTTAAAACTACTTTTTTGCTAAGAACTAATAGGTGTTTTCGCTCAAAACCGTCTGCAATGGCGCAACGGCAGTGTCTGTTATTGAAAGGTGTACCGAAGAAGTACATTAACCTTACACAAGCCCTCTACTCGAACACTAATGGTCTAGTGAGAGCTTATGGCGAACTGTCATCGGAATTGGTTACTTCAAGTGGTATCCGTCAGGGATGCCGACTTTATTTTCTCCATTCTTGTTTACTTTTGTCATAGACCTTTATCTTCGTCTGAATTTTCAGGAGTAGACTCTCTTCTACCAGGAGATTGCTTCAGTGGTTGACTTAGAATATACCAGTGGCGCTGATAAAATGCAGTGTCTTCTGAATACCCTAAGCAACAATGCAAGCATGTTCGGGATGCGAATCTGCCGCTGAAAACGCAAAATGTCACTTCAGGATTGGCTTGTATCGGCACCAGATAGGGGGAATGAAGCAGTTGAGCGTATGTGACGAAATCTCAACATAGTACACTTAATCATCTCACATTAAATATTCTTTGTTTTATTCTTATTCAAACAATAATTTATACCATATTCAAATGAACAATTTACTTTGTAGCAAATTAAAATTAAACATTCAGGCGGCATGTTTATATATCGTGTATTTGTATTCAAATTATATGCGATTGATAATTTTAACAAATATTCTATTCAATCAATTATCAATCAATAGCAACGTAGAACTTCGTACATACATACATCACTTCAAGTTGCCATACCACATTAGCACAGAGAGATCGAAATGTCAATTCAAATCGCATAGTAGTAGAGGTAGTAAAAGTATTAGCAGTAATTGGAGAGATTAGGATTAGAAGATATTATTCAAGAAGTAGAATCTAGTGAAGTAAACTTTAAAAGAGAAAGATAAAAGTGATAAGGAACTCCAAAGGTTAAGATTAAAGAGAACACAAAGAATAAATGCACCTGCACCCATTGCAAACGGTTTTAAGCCATGTCACTGAGGGTCTCTAACCATCGAACTTCCCCTGAAGAACCTTCGGGGTTAATGCCATTCACAAGCCTAGAACGGCCCTAACCCTAAAGGAGAAGGGTTGCAATTGGCGACCTCAGCACGCAAAGAAACTAACTCGCCAAAAAAAGACGTTAACTATGCTATTCAGTGAACTAAATCAATCAATATGAGCAAACATTGTTGCACTACACATACATTATATGTTATCAATTATTCATACTTATTTCTATGGATCCCCCTCGAAATGCAAAATGTTGCTTCAAGATTGGGTTGCATCGGCACCTGAACTAGCGATAGGGAGTGAAGTAGTCAAGCGTGTAGACCGCTTCACTTATCTTGGGAGTCTCATCAGTGCTGATGACCTGGTGAATGACGAAATCTCAGCTCGGATACAGAAGGCTCGATTGGCTTTTGTCAACCTGCGTCACTTATGGCGTAGGCAAGATATCCGTTTGCTGACTAAAGGACGAGTGTACTGCGCAGTAGTTCGCTCCACCGTACTTTATGGCTGTGAAACATGGCCAGTGAGATTAGGAGATATTCATAGGTTACTGGTTTTTGATCATAGGTGTCTTCGAAGCATTGCTCGTACATCCTGGGACACCCGAGTGAGCAACGGGTGCTAGGTAATAAGAATTGCAGATCAATAGATGAAGTAATGAAACTTCATCAGTTGAGATGGTTGGGGCATGTGCTACGTACGCCTAACCACCGACTACCTCGAAGAGCTTTGTTTTGTAGTGTAGGAATAGGTTGGAAGAAAGTTAGGGGCGGCCAAACCAAAACATGGCACAAATCCATGAAGTCATTGATTGACGAGTGGACTGAGTCATGTCGGTAATTGTCGACTACCTTGGTTGGGGTCCACGAGATGATAATAATCGATGGTTAGAGACCTTGAATGACATGGCTCAAAATCGTTCGCAATGAGCGCAGGTGCATTTATTCTCTGTGTTCTCTTCTGGATTCTTCAACCCCTTTAGTTTTGACTTTCTAAACTTATCTCACACTAAATCATACTTCTTGAATAATAAATATCTTCTAAACAAACAAACAAACAAACAACTTACCAGAAATCACTGCATTAGCTAATTCTTGTACAGTAGCCCAAATCGGTGATTCACTAGCCCATTTTTTAATAGCTAATTCAGATTCTTTATTATTGGAATTATTAGAGCAACGTAATGCAATTGCATCCAACAAACCATTGATTCCGTATGGATTTTCTATTAATTCACCATTATCATCTGTATTGTATTGTAGCTGTAAACCAAGTGTATCATTATTAACTAACCATGCAAGTATATGAAAATTAGTTAAACATGTATGAATTTGATCAATGCCAAATTTATGTAGGATACGAGAAAAACTTGGAATATCCTTTATAATGAGAAAACACAAAAAAAACAACATAATAAAAAGACATTAAATTAATAAATGTTTTTTAAATATATAAATGAAAAAAGAAAAAACAGCAATACAGAACTTACTACTTAAATCAACTTAACTGTTATGCATGCATACTCATGTAAACACATGTCAATTTGATATGCTTGAATTTAGTCGGAAAACGAGAGCGAGGATTGAGGGTCCGGTGATTCAACATGCCACTCTAATCCGATTGTCTCAAGCCCCCCATTGAATAAAAAAAAGAAGACTTGATATGAAGTAGAACCTGTATTCTATAAAAACAACCACAAAGTACGAGGTCCCGAGTGCAGACGAGGCTAAGGATCCGGGTCCGGATCATAAAACGTTACAGATAATGAGTATTTATAATACAGCTGGGTCGAATAGGAAACAACATTTGAAGTATGTGACATTGATAGTTAGGAACTGTAGTGCCTCCCCATATATTCGAGTTCGTTTAAATCTAACTTGGTTCAGCCTTTTCGATTAATTTATTTAATCAAGCCATTTGTATTGCAACAATTTATAATGTACCATTCGTTCTTATTATTATTGTCTGGTTTGTATGATGAGCTCACATGACGTGTCCCACTTGTCATTTGACCTTGTCGACTATTCGTCGCTTCTATTCATGTGTGTGCATGCCTATCTCGTTGATCACTTGTCTGACTATATATTCTTAGTCATACTCTATTTCTTTGAGTTGGCTCAACGGCCTTCTCCAATTAATTCGTTTTAATCACTGCTTCTCCGCTTCGCTTTGGGTGGTGTGTCCCAAATAAACATATTCCACACTACGAGTTCACCTTCTGATTTATAAACCGTCTCAAACGCCATTTAGTAACACGATTGTCTGGACGAGCTAATTACCACCGAGCTTAAGAATACGCACTAAAATCGATACACTACAGGACGACCGATAAAGAAACAACATTTGAAGTATGTGACATTGATATATCTAGGACGATCATTATATGGACCAACAGGAATTAGATCTATCGCACACACAACAACAAATGCAAGAGAAGACGACCAGTGTAGCAGCAGCCTCTGCAGCAGTAGGTCTCAACATACATAAAGGAAAAAGCAAAATTCTCCGATGCAACACAACATGCACCAACCAAATCACTCTTGATGGAGATGCCTTGGAGAACGTTAACACCTTTACATATCTGGGCAGCATCATCGACAACCAAGGTGGATCCGATGCAGATGTGAGGGCGCGGATTGGCAAAGCAAGGGCTGCATTTCTACAACTGAAAAATATCTGGAACTCCAAACAACTTTCAACCAAAACCAAAATCAGGATTTTCAATGCAAATGTCAACACATTTCTACTGTATGGAGCGGAAACATGGAGAACTACAAAAGCCCTCATCCAGAAGATACAAGTGTTTATTAACAGCTGTCTACGCAAAATACTTCGTATTCGTTGGCCAGACACCATCAGCAACAACGAACTGTGGGAGAGAACAAGTCAGATTCCAGTGGAGGAGGAAATCAGGAAGAAGCGGTGGAAGTGGATAGGATACACACTACGAAAAGCACCTAACTGCTTCACAAGACAAGCCCTCACATGAAACCCTGAAGGCAAAAGGAAAAGAGGAAGGCCAAGGAACACATTACGCCGAGAAATAGAGAAAGATATGAGAGGAATGCACAAACATTGGACTGAACTGGAGAGGGAAGTCCAGGACAGAGTTGGTTGGAGAAAACTGGTGGGCGGCCTATGCTCCATTGGGGGTAACAGGCGAAAGTAAGTAAGTAGGAATTAGATGAATATTCTAACACTAACCACGGATAAAATAATTTTCTAAATAAATATTGAATTTATTTAGTAGAAATCTATTTTGTTTCCTGTTAATTATGTTAAGAAATGATTACACATACAAGTTGTTTATCTCTGTCAGCCATACTGTATCAATTGTCTCGATGATTTAATGATACGTTTTTTCTAATGAATAATATTATGATATGTGATGAGAAGAAAAAAGAACAAAGACCAAATCGTATGTAGTTGGCGCTCGCTACCTTGATATGGTGGTTGGTATTTTTTGTCAATGAAGAATGTTGTTTATGAGTATATATATATAAAAGAATTAATGAAATTGAACTTTGAATACGAATAATTTTGAATTTAAAAAAAGTATTCAATTCACCCCCGCTTTTTTCTTTTAAAAAAAATAAAACTAATCTGTTTTGAATGAATGAATAAATTTTTGATATTGGTAATAAGCAAGAAATTCAAACTAGTATTTCATTAAATGGTTATTAAATTAGAGTAGAAATCAATTTAGATCAAAAAGCCTGTCTTGTTGTATTATGGTTTTAGTAGTGGTGATCGAGTCGAGAATGACTATAATTTATATGTTAGGATATTCATCTAATATTATAAGGGAATTATTGGTCAAATCCTATTGGTCGATTTCTATTGATCAAAAAATTATGGTCGTCTTAACTGTCAAAGTCAAATACTTCAATGTTGTCTCTTATTGGTCATCCGGACTGTCAATGTGATTTCAAATGGTACTTCCTATTGGTCGTCTTAACTGTCAATGCCACAGTATTCGATGCTGTTTCCTATTCGACCAAAATGTATAAATACGTATTATCTGTAACATTTTATGACCACGACCAGGGCTCGGTCCCGGATCCCTATTCCGGGATCCAGATTCTCTTCTGGACTCGAACCTCGTACTTTGTGGATGTTTGTAGAATACAGGTTGTACTTCATGTCACGTCTTCTTATTTTTATTCAATATGGGGGTTTGGGACACTCGGATTTGAGTAGCATGTTGTGTTACTGGATCCTCGATTTCGTTTTCCGACTAGATAAACTCGTAATAGTTCAAATATATCAAGTTGATGTGTTTACGTGCAGGCGTAACAAATTACCACTATAAATACAAATTACTAACTCGTTACTAAGAAGATAAATAAATCCATGGTAAAGAGAATATATTTACTACTGGTGATTTCGTGGTGTCGTCAAACGAACACCGAAACTCAACCATAAAAAACGATGGGCAAATTTACAGAGCTAACTGGTAGAGCAAAAATGGCAACAACACAAACACAAAAGTTTGCGCGTAAACAGGTGTTATAAACAACGAGGTCCAGTTAAACAATCATTGGTACAATCAGTTTAAAATAACGAATGTTTCTATGAAACCAATCGCATTCTCTTCATAAAAGTAGTCACCAAAATGTGAAAAAAGGAAAGTGTTTATATCTCTTTACCACTTAGAGGCGAATCAACCGGTTTAATCTTGAGACACAGACTAAAAGCAGCTTTCGAAAAAACGTGCTACGCTGTGAGACTAATCATAATCGAAAAGACTAAACCAATGATTCCACATAAACCTAAGTATGATTACATCACATCCTATTGCATTTATCGATTTATATGTTTCTGGGGGCACATATACATAGGGAAGAGTAATCGGACATTCCATCCAAGAATTATGGAACATGTACTTGAAATGGCTTCAAAATCAGCTAATGTCAGGTGATCCGATAAACATGAGAAAAAGAGAAAACCACGTTCATCAATAGCAAAACACATAATTGAACCGTGGCATAAGATTGACATCAAGGCAACTTTTAAAACAGTGTGTAGAAACGTTTAAGGGCGAATTATGAGGTTTATAGGAGCCTTGACTATTCATAAACTATGTGTACAGAAACGATAAGATATAGCTTAGAACTCACTCTGGTAATCTTTAAGCTAGTTAATGAACGTGTCCGTATAGACCAGATATCCACACCACGTCAAGTCCTAGAATACAGACACATTTCAGCGTCCGACAATAGTAGTATTCTTAGACCATGGGACAGAGTTTTATTTTATCAATTGTAAGGTTCTGTAGAAGTATCTGTCATTGAAAGATGTACCAAAAAAAGTACATATCTACTACATACTACTGATAAGCCGCATTGTAAGTAGTATACATCACACTTGTATACTTTGAAAAGTCGATTGCATATATAGTCAATAAATGACTTTATTTATAATGGCTCCTATCATAATAAAATAAATCACTTATTCTATTAGCTCTTATGCGTCTTCGTTTATTATACAACTACAACATCCAGATTACTACTACTATGCGGTTGAATTAAATTAAATCAAAGTGTAGTTATATTGAAGTTTGTAAGTCAATAGTTTAACTAATTAGACTGTCAGTCCACTATTGGAATAACAAGCATTAGAATGATTACATAGATGTCAAATTTTTATGTGAATACATTTTGCTTACTGAATTCAATCAATCAATGGATTTCGGTATAACGACCGATGTTCTGTTTGTCTAATCTTCTTCCATTGACTGATTAGAACTCTACCAATCAATTTTTAATATTTTCGGGTAGAGTTTTTGGAGGTTTTGTGAGTTTTTACACATTTGAAATCATCAGTCAATCATTGTTAGACTGGCACCATTAGAAACCTGGAAGCACCACTGGACGGCCATTTCGTCCTGGTATGGGACTGATTCATCAGTGGCAGTGCGTATCCACAACTCCTGCACCTCGCAGGATTCGAACCCGGGACCTTCGGTATTGTGCGCGAACGCCTAACCATCGGAGAGAATTTTTAATGTAATTGCTGGTCAAAGTGACTTGAAAATCACGTGAATGATAATACTTAGTTGTTACAGTGGTTTTGAAGTGTTTAACCGACAAACCTGCTTGACTTAGATTTCATGGTATTGGCCACTTGTCACAAAAGCTTACATACATTCTTCCTCTCTACTAGTCAGATGTTACGCACTGTACGATTCGAAATTGATTTGATTGTTAAGCACTCCCCCCCCCCTAGTCTATTCAGATTGTATGACCCGTATACTAACTACTAATATATCACACCAATGATTAAATAATCATGCTTACTAAAATCTGATTTAATCCTACCGGTGACCTATTTTTTTAAACGATAACCTTTTAAATGAAAAAAATCAAGTTTATATATGGATATCGAAAAAACGAAAATATTATCCAGGCATAATATTATTATTATTATTATCGTTGTCAGACTATTTGATCGAAATGATTTTTACAAGGTCAAAATATTATATATAGTACATAGACACATAGTAGTGTGTTGGACAGACACATATGTAAGGACTAGGTGAAAGACATATCTTTGAATATTATGTATATACTTCGTTTATGTACATTCCACATTAGATGAAATGATGATATTATAAGTGAGTGTTCTAACAATACTTATTTGCAATCGTTATTACTATGAAATAGATTTGGAAGAAAGTTAGGGACGGCCAGACCAAAACATGGCACAAATCCTTCAAGTCACTGACAAGTGGACTGAGTCATGTTGGTAGATGTAGACTACCTGGTTGGGGTCCGCGAGACGAAAGTCACCAATGGTTCGAGACCTTGAATGACATGGCTCGAAATCGTTTGCAATGGCGCAAATGCATCCATTCGTTGAGCTCTCTCAAATCATAATCTTCTGAATTCGTCAGCACCTCTACCTTTGTCTTTCTAACCTTATCTCACTGAATCATACTTCTTGAATAATATCTTCAAACCCCCTAGTCTTCTTCATTACCATTAATACCTCTACTATCTTTATCACTATGGGATTTGATTTGACATTTGCGTCTCTGTGTACTAATGCGGTATGGCGACATGAACTTATGTACATACGTACGAAGTTCTACGTTGCAACTGACTGATTGACTGACTGATGAAATAGAGTAAGTTTATGGAATACGTTACATGTGTTATTTGGTTTGCATTATCATGAATGCATGATCATTTAAATAAAAAGGGCAAAGAATATTACTCCATTAGACAAGCTGTTTTCTATTTAAATCATGGGTTTTGAAATATATATATGATTGGACTGTTAATTAAAATGACATCGTATCTGTATCATGTGTCAGTCAGAAACAACATAGAACTTCGTATGTACGTACGTACATACAACAGTTCAAGTTGCCATAACACATTAGCACAAAGAGATCGAATTGTCAATTCAAATCCCATAGTAGTAGAGGTAGTAGAAGTGTTAGCAGTAATAATGGAGAGATTAGCATTTGAAGATATTATATTCAAGTAGTATAAGTTAATGAGATAAATTTAGAAAGAGAAACATAGAGTTGATGAGGAAATCAGAAAGTTAGGATTTGAGAGAACACAACGAATGAATGCACTTGAGCCATGTCATTCAGCATCTCAAACTATTGATTACTTTTATCTTGCGGACCCCAACCAGGTAGTCGACACCTTTATCAACATGAGTCCGTCTAAGAGTCAGTGACTTCATGCATTTGTGCTACGTTTTGGTTTGGCCGACCCTACAGTTCTTCCAATCTACTCCTACATCGCAAAACATAGCTCGATGAGATAGTCAATGGTCAGGCAAACGCAACACATGTCCCAACCACCTCAACTGATGAAGTGTCAACATTTTATCTATTGATTTGCTATCCCTACCCAGTACTCGTTTCCTAACAACAGCATTGCTTACTCGGCTGTCCCACGAGCAATGTTTCAGAGACACCTATGATCGAAGACAAGCAACCTACGAATGTCTTCTACTCTCACCGGCCATGTTTCATATCCGTATAGTAGGACGGAGCGAACTAGTTACTGCGCAGTACACTCATCCTTTGGTGAGCATAAGGATATCTCGCCTGCGCCGTAGGTAATCAGTAACCTACGAATATCTTCTACTCAGACAGGCCATGTGTGTGTGTGTGTACCTGATGAATGGAACATGTTACAGAGTTTATAATATGCTTCTTAGAAGTTTTCAATATAGTCCGTACTTGCTATAAAGGATTTTTATTTTAGATAATTTACGCCATACAGTTTGTAAAATTCGATTGTTTACATTATGAACTAATGATCTCAGCTAGATAATCTTTGAAAATCTAAAGTCAATGAAGCCAACTGGTTTATTTTTACAAAAGAGGTGTGAACAATTTACAACTTCGTGTGTGGATAGAAAGTAAAATCTCATTAGATTAAGCAAGGGAGCATATTTTTTTAACTTTTAACCCTATTAGAATCACAATCTATCTAAATTGTCTACATCACTTGTGTGTGTGTGTGTGTGGCTCTTAATAAAATGCAAATTAGATTGAAAAAAACCACCACCACGACCACCACCAAGACAAAAACACACGTAAACTATGCAACTCATCATCATCATAAAAGAATACAAAGAAGAAATATGTGTAAGTTGACAAATGTGTGAAAATCAAATTTCTTTAAAGTAACAACACCAATGTCAACAACAACAACAATACCCACAACAATAAAACGATGGAAAGTCAGTCAATTAGGCGTGTTTCTACTCTCTAACTCTCTCTCTCGCTCACTCTCTAAGTAGCCTTTGTTTTATAGAGAAAAAGACATGTTTGTTTGTTTGATTAAAAGAATAAAAACTATTTCCTATCAATAAACCAAATACATATAGGTAGGTATAGATATACAGATATATATATCATACAATCTAATTAACTGTGTGACTCTATCTACCTACTAAGGCAACCGAGACAAATAGAAAATAAACATAACCACCAACATTATAGGTTAAATCAATCATAATAATAATAATGACAATAATTATAATTAATTTGTAACTACTACTGAATTGAATTGAATTAATAATTAAATCGAATCAATTGATTGATCGACTTTTCTAATCTATCAAAAATAATAAATAATCACATATATGTGTATATTTATTTGAAGGACAACTATCAGCTTGTGTCTAGATTATAAAAGTGACACATTTGAAATCATGAATCGATGATCAATGTTAGATCATCACCATTAGGAACTTGAAAACACTGAAAGACGGCCGTTTCGTCCTGGTATGGGACTAGTCATCAGTGGCAGTGCGCATCCACGACTCCTGCACCTCGCGCAGGATTCAAAAGCCAGGACCTTCGATGTTGCGTGCGAACGTCTAATCTATGGACCACTGAGCCAGTGTAAACCGTTTGCAATGGCGCAGGTGCATTTATTCTTTGTGTTCTTTCAAATCCTAATCTTTTGGATTCTTCAACACCTCTAGTTTTGACTTTCTAAACTTATCTCACTGAATCATATTTCTTGAATAATATCTTCTAATCCAAACTTCTCCGATTACTTCTAATACCTTTACTACCTCTTCTAATATTGTATTTGAATTGACAATTATATCTCTGTGTTGATGTGGTACGGAAACATGAACTGATGTACTTACGTACGAAGTTCTACGTTGCATCTGACTGACTGACTGACTGAGGCAGTGTACGGAACAGTGTTAATGTCTAACAATTTCGATCGATTCAGAGGGTCTTGCTTGCGCAATCTCATACACTGTCTTCGGTAGTGACTGTCCACACAACTGTCCAGTGAATTGATTCATGATTTCAAATGTGTAATTTAACAATATTTACAACCCCATGTAAAGATACAGAAAGCTTGATTTGATTTTGCCAATTTACGTTGTTTATGGCGTAGGCGAGATATCCGTTCGCTAACCAAAGGACGAGTCTACTACGCAGAGGTTCAATCTGTCCTACTATATGGATGCGAAACATGGCCAGTCAGAGTAAAAGATATTCGTAGGTTACTGGTTTTCGATCACAGATATCTTGGCAGCATTGCTCGTGTATCCTGGGCCAACTGAGTAAGCAACGCTGTTGTTAGTAAACGAGTCATAGGGTAAAGATGGCAGATCAATAGATGAAGTGGTGAAACTTCATCACTTGAGGTGGTTTGGACTTGTGTTACATACACCCAACCACTGACTGCCTCATTGAGCTATGCTTCGCAATGTACGAATAGGTTGGAAGAAAGCCAGGGGCGGTCAAACCAAAACATGGCAGAAATCCATGAAGTCACTGACAACTGGACTGAGCCATGTTGGTCGGTATAGACTACCTGGTTAGGGTCCGCTAAACAATAGTAACTAACCGATGCTTACAGACTTTGAATGACATGGTTCAAAACCGTTTACTTCATCTATGTTTAATCATCAACGAAAATAAAGAAACGAACAAACAAGTTACCAGAGAAATGGTAATATTACATAAGAAAACAATAAACTTACTTGAATTTGACCTAAACATTCACGATTTTCAATTGGAAATTGACAATCCGCTGGAAAATGATCCGGTATTTTAGCCATTGTATAAATTGGTTCAATTGGAAATGCTGTTGGCATATAAGTGAGTAAAAATTCCACTGGTAATGGACGTGCTACACGTGTAACACGATTACCATATTTATCCTTAGTCTAAATGAAAGGAAATAAATGTAGAATGAGCGTTTTGTATTTGGGGAGTGGGGGGGTGGGGACGGGAAGGGGAAGTATAAAAAACATGTATCTTGTAAGCGGCTATCCAATCAGTTCAAATTATAAGTAATATCTATGTGTACTTATATATATACTTACCTAAACCTGTTACCCTCAATGGGACAAAGGCTGCCGACTAACTAATATTTTCCAACCCACTCTGTCCTGGGCTTCCCTTTCCAGTTCTGTTCAATTTCTGTTTATTCTTCTCATGTCTGTCTCCATTTCTTGACGTAATGTGTTCCTTGGCCTTGCTCTTCTCTGCTAACCTTGAGGATTCCAGGTGAAGGCCGCAGTTGTTGGTTGCTTTCCTCAATGTGTGTCCTGTCCACACCTCCAGTGCTTCTTCTTGATTTCCTTCTCCACTAGAATCTGCTTTGTTCTCTCACACAGTAGGTTGTTGGTGATAGTTTCTGGCCAACGAATCCGAAGTATTTTGCGTAGACAACTATTAATAAACACTTGAGTTTTCCCGGTGATAGCTTTCGTGGTTCTCTAAGTTTCCACACCCCAATTCAGTAAAACTGTCTTGACGTTTGTACTGAAAATTGTGGCTTTTGTGTTGGTTGAAAGTCATTTTGATTTCCAGATGTTCTTCAATTGTAGAAATTCTGCCCTTGCTTTGCCACTCCGAGCCTTCATATCTGCATCAGACCCACTTTGCTCGTCAATGATGCTGCCGAGATATGTACAGTTTTTTACGTACTTTAAGGCATCCCCATCAAAAGTGATTTGGTTTGTGCATGTTTTGTTTGATAGGAGAATCTCGCTTTTCCCTTTGTGTATGTTAAGATCTGATGTTGCTGACACACTGGCTGTCTTTTCTTGAGTTTATTGTTGTGTGCAATACAAAAGACAGACCATCTGCCAACTCCAGATCGTACAGCTGCATCCTCGCTTTCCATTGTATAATGTGCTTCCCTCCAGATGTGACGTCTCCATAACTCAGTCAATCACTAGGAGAAAGAAACCTTGCCTGACACCGGTCTTTAGCTCAAACGATTTTGTCAGCTGTCCTCCGTGCACGATTTTGCAGTTCAATCCATCATAACAATTCCGTATGATGTTGACTATCTTCACAGTCACGACGTAGTGTCGAAAAAACCTCCATAGATTAACATTAATGATTTTTTTTAACTGAGGAGAGTGTTCGCAACACTTGAAAATCAACTTATTGAGACAGCTCTTAATACCTTCGATGAAAGTAACTTTCATTGTATTCGCATAGTACTTTTCACACCCTAATGTTAACACTGAAAATCCATGCAGTCACATGAGATAATCACTATGATGATCAAAAATTAGACCAAACAATTACATTTGAACTATTTATTTAGTGAGAATGAATGATTTACAAACAGATTACCTCCGGTTGCTTTACACATTTTATTATGTTTATTCTGTGATGATCATACTATACACATAAGTATGTTATGGTATTGACTAAACATTAAATTAATCTGACCAGTAATTTTTTTCTCTTTGATTTCTAATTACTTTGGAGGGCGGCGGCAGCGGCTAAATTCATTAATTAATTAATTAATTCAGAGGTCATCCATCCATCACTCAACCATACATCAAATCATTGCGTTCATTTAATCGATCAGAAATTCCATTCATCGATTTTTCAACAAGTATTTCACATCACTCATTAAATGTATCCGCCCTCTATTACAATGACCTAATCTTTCTTAATAAATTCTATCAGTAGAAACCGTAGAAATCGTAGGATATGATTATATCATGAATCAATCAATCAATAGTGACGTAAAACTACATACGTACGTACGTACATCAGTTCAATTTGCCATACCACATTAGCACACAGAGATCGGATTGTCAATTCAAATCACATGGTAGTAGAGGTAGTTAAGGTATTAGCAGTAATCGGAAATCTTAGGGTTTGAAGATATTATTCAAGAAGTATGATTCAATGAGAAAAGTTTAGAAAGTCAAAACTAGAGGGGTTGAAAAATCCAGAAGATTAGGATTTGAGAGAACACAAAGAATGAATGCACCTGCGCCATTACAAACGATTTTGAGCCATGTCGCTCAAGGTCTCTAACCATCGATTACTATTATCTCGCATGTTTCAACCAGGTAGCCGACACTTACCGACATGAGTCAGTCCACTTGTCAGCGACTTCATGGATTTCTGCCATGTTTTGGTCTGGCCACCCCTAACTCCACAACTAAAACAGCCAGCTCAGAGAACGAAACACTACCATAAGTACTTCAACAATCAATAATATGATTCACTTAAATCTTTGTTTTAAAAATAACACAAAACTCAACTAATAATTATATATATTCTACTGTAATATCATTCAATATAAAAAGTTTTTATTTATTTATTTATTACGTACTACTAAATAAAGTAAATTGTATTTCAGTAGTTAGGGGTTTCTAGCGGATAATAGTTTAATATTGACTAGAATAGTATTATGCATTCACGTAAACACGTCAGATTGATATGCTTGAATTATTACGAGTTTATCTTAGTCGGAAAACAAGAGCGATGATCGTGAATCCGGTGACACGACATACTACTCTAATCCAAGCGTCCCAAACCCCCATTCAGTAAAAGAAGAAGAAGACTTGATATGAAGAAGAACATGTTACTCTACAAACATCCAGAAAGTACGAGGTCGGAGTCCAGAAGAGCATAAGGATCTCAGACAAGGGATCTGGGTCCGGGTCATCAAACTTTACAGATAATGCCTGTTTATACAGTTGGGTCGAGTAGGAAACATTGAAGTATGTAACACTGATAGTTAGGATGACCAGTAGGAATTAACCTATAGGACTAGACCTACAAATAATTCTCTTAAGATATTGGATGAATATCCTAACAAATAGTATAGATAAATATCATTGTAATCTGTAGTTCACATAAGTTATAAACAGACTTCTTTTCAGTTTATTACCTATTCTTTATTAGTTCCTTGTAAGAGTCGTTTATAACTCATTTCAACTTTTTCGCTTCCTAACCCATAGTATTTTTTCTTAAAATCTCAATTTTACTACCAACCATTGGTTATCATAAATCAGTAATCAGAAAGTATAGTTTAGTTATTCTCATCACAACATACGACGTTGATTCCACATCAACCTAAAAGTGTTCAAACATTTTTTATTGAAGTCAGTCAGTCAGTCAGTCACAACATAGAACATCGTACATGAGTACATAAGTTTAGGTTGGTATACCGTCACATACTGCAACAGAGATGCAACTAATTGTCACTTCAAATCCCATTTTATTGAATCGATTAATAAATATGAGCAGAACAATTTCCTTGTTGCCCTTGTAAACGTCCTTCAAAATATTTCCTGAGAGTTCACACATAAGTTTCACCGAAAAATACCTTAAGCTTTTAGTCAATAAAAATTCAATTGTACTTGTAATTATAGCCTACTGTTGTTAAATAAGACAGAAGATATGTGGTTTTGTTTATCAAACTAAACTTGACTACTATGAATTTGACAAGTTCAAACTTATAAAAGAGAATCAAGGCTTCAAAGTCAATACTAATCGATTGTTTAAATGATAAAGTAAGCAGTTCGAACTGGCAATCTATTATTAATATCAAAAGCTGGGTGAGGAGGGGGTTGGCGTAGCAGTTTAAACGGTCATACATAATAATATGTACTTTCAATTAGAGTTATGGAGATAAGTGTTTTTACACATTTGAAATCATTAATCAATCATTGTTAGACTGCCACCATTAGAAAGCTGGAAGCACCACTGGACGGCCGTTTCGTTCTGGCATGGAATTCATCAGCAGTGCGCATCCACGACTCCTGCACCTCACAGGATTCGAACCCGCGACCTACGGGATTGTGCTCAAACGCCTGACCATTGGACCACTGGGCCGGCATCCAACGGTCATACATAACACGCATATTCAAGTCGTTTACAAAAAGTTAGGTGAGAATAAGAAAAAATATCAAAAATCAAGAAAAAAATCAATTCTTGTTCATTTATTGATAAGAATTCATCGGTTTTTTTTAAAGGTCATTTTCATGCATAAACTTCAAAATTGTATAAATTATTTTGAATAGAGAAAAGAAGCAGAATCACACGAATTCTAACACACACACACGCACAAACACATACACACACACAAATACACTCATATAGATAAAAAAAATTCATTGATTGTCGAAAATGGTCGAAAAACAGCCGAAAATAAATGAACTGAAAGTTTGAACTCATTACACAAATGAATAAACAATGAGTATGCGAGTAGAAAAGGTATTTATATAAAGTATGCAAATTAGGAGACTAGAAAATTCTCTCTGCTGTAGCTGTTTATATATATATATATATATATATATATATATATATATATATATATATATATATATACGTCATATTCGATAATTACGCAACGATTGAGTTGATTCTAACATAAACAAGTTTTATGATGGAATTCGCCAACAGTAATTAACTGAAGTTATAAAATGTTAAGATATTCATTCATCAAATATCCTAAGAGAATTATTATTTTTGTAAGTTTAATTCAATTGGTCAATTCCTACTGGTCAATAATTTAATGGTCGTCTTAACTATCAATGTCACGTACTTCAATGGTGTTTCTTATTGATCGTCTAACTATCAATGTTGTTTCCTATTCGACCTAATTGTATAGATACGCATTATCTATAACGTTTTATGACACGGATCCGCATCCCTAGTCCCCTTCTGGACTCGGACCTCATACTTTCTGAATGCTTGTAGAATACATGTTCTACTTCATATCAAGTCTTCTTATTCTTTTACTCAATGGGGGTTTGGGACGCTTGGATTAGAGTAGCCTGTCGTGTCACCGGATCCTCGCCCTCGTTTTCTGACTAACGCTGATGAGTCCCATACCAGGACGAAACGGCCATCCAGTGCTTCCAGGTTTCTAATGGTGGTCTAACAATGATTGATTGAT